GTTTTTTTTTTTTTTTTTTTTTTAAAAAAAGGTCAGAACAACAGTATTTAAGGATACTCGGGTGGATTCTTGAGACAGGAGAGCTCGTCTTTCCGGTCTGGGTTTCACGGTAATTTTAAAGTATTATAGACAATGATGAGAATACAGCCTATAATTAGGGTTGCCTGACACTTCCCATAAGATCTTGTTTTCAGTTGCTAGTAAAGCTTTGCCACACGTTAATCATTTCAGCCAGAATTTCCAAACAAGGTATATGCCTTCAGCCATTTTTTGTTTAAGGAAGTTTCAGCTAGAATTTATCCAGATGCCTCAGAAAAAAAAATGAGGCTTGACAAAATAAATGATTTGGCCTCCTTTAAAAAAATTCTGGAAACCTATTCTTTAAGAAGTGTTAGCTCCCTATGGCTCCAGACTTGAGTAAAAGCTTGAAATTTGGCAAGAATATGGCCTCTATCTTAAGACTGGGCATTTGGCTGTTATCATGAATGTCCACCATTGATGGCAACATACAACCCTTTACAAATTGAAGTTTGTGCATGCTAGTAGATACTTGTAAGAGTTTTAGAAGCAAATTCTTCAAAGATGTCCATACCCAGTCTGTTTCAGCTGGGGCCTCTGTGGCTAAGTACAGACAGTAAAAAAGCCAGAGGCTGACTCAGTTCAAACTTTGCAGGTTAGTCTGAGCTGCACAGACTGAACCAATAAGCAAGTGACCAGACATTCACTTCCGATTTCGGAAATGCAGCCATACCTGCAGTGGCCCAGGCCAGAAGTTGGGGGGGCACTGGTTAGAGCACACCTTCTTGCCACTGGAGTACTGCATCCAGTTTTGGGCCCTACAATTCAAAAGGATGTAGAGAAGCTTGAGAGAGTCCAGAGAAGAGCCACATGCATGATCAGAGGTCAGGAAAACAGACCTTACGATGACAGGCTGAGAGCCATGGGGCTCTTTAGCCTGGAAAAGCGCAGGCTCAGGGGTGATCTGATGGCTACCTATAAGTTTATCAGGAGAGACCATCAGTATCTGGGGGAAGGTTTGTTCATGAAGGCACCCCAAGGGATGATGAGGTTGTACAGTTATAAACTCCTGCAAGACCGTTCCAGGCTAGACGTAAGGAAGAATTTATTGTCTGAGCCCCCAAGGTCTGGAACAGCCTGCCATCGGAGGTGGTTCAAGCACCTACAGTGAAAACCTTCAAGAAAAAAAATTGGATGCTTATCTTGCTGGGATCCTATGACCCCAGCTGACTTCCTGCTTTCAGGCAAGGGGCTGGACTCAATGATCTTCCGAGGTTCCTTCCAGCCCTAATGTCTATGAATCCAGCTGGGATCTACCTGGCAGGGACAAAGCAGCCCGTCTGGCTTTTCCTCTGCTCCCTGCTCAAGCAGAGGGGTCGGGGGTATAACCAGACACCAGCCAGGCAGACCCTGACTGGGGTCCCCTGCAGGGAGGTGGGAACAGGGGTTTTAAACCCCCTCCCTCCCTCTAGCTCAACATGCCAGCCTGGTGGGTGTCAGGCTATGCTCCCCACCTCTCTGTTTGAGTGGGGGAGCAAGAGATAAGCCAGGCAGGAGCTGCTTTGCTCTTGCCAGGCAAATCCCAGCTGTGTTCCCACGTGGGCAGGGGCAGGTGGGGTTTTAACCCACTACCCCCCACCTCTGCCTCAGCGTGCTGGTGTCTGTCCATGCCCCTCACCCTTCTGCTCAAGCATAAAGCAGGGAAAAAGACTGAGGGGCTGCTTTGCCCTTGTTAGGGGTTTAGCACCACGCTTCCCACCCCCACCTCAGCCAGCTGGGGCAGTGATAGTGCTCCAGCAAGGGAGCAAAGGGGTGGAGCCAGCACTGCTCCACTGGAGCAGACAGCCCAGCCCAGGGCTGCAAAGCATCCTGGGATGCTAGGGGATTGTGAGTTAACTTCAACCAGGAAGGGGTCTGGGACAGAAGTTCCATAAACCGGTTTGACCTAAATCTGTTAAGTCTGATAGTACATCCAACCAGGTTTATCTTAAACCGGTTTCAGCCATTTTGCAAGTGGTTTAAGTGGACTAAACTTATGTTCTGTTACAGGTTTAAACCTGTTTCTGATCATTTAAACTGGTTTAAATGTGCAACTTCTGCCTTTACCCAGTGGGGGACAATCGAAGCTCCAACTGCGGCATACCAGGTCAGGCCTAGTCGAGAGCAGGGAGACTGTTTATGCGTGATGACACACCCTGTAGAATTCCTCCTTTGTTGTTTAAGTTAGAAAGCATCTAATAAGTGATGTAGGGAACTTCAGGAAGAGAAAGGATGGCCTCATGGTCTAGACCAGTGGTCTCCAAAGTTTTTTGATCATGCACCCCATCAGTAAAAAATTTTTGAGCACGCAGCCCCAATATATGTATAGTTATATAAATAGAAATAGAAGTTCTAATATTTTCTTCCTGCACCCCAGTGGATCATCTTGCACACCCCCTGGGGTGCGTGCGCTCCACTTTGGAGACCACTGGTCTAGATAGCTGAAGGTGACTTTGGAGAACTAGATTTTCTGTCTAATTCTGACTTGCTGGGCAAGTCACTTAAACTTTTCACAGGTCTCACTACTTGTGCATTCCTGATTTTCTGGGGATCTTCCTTGAGACCAGAGAGGCTGATTTTTACACTTGCTGAGCACTCACAGTTGCAACTGAACTCCAAGGCAGGTGCACTTGCATATAAAATGCAGCTAGAATGTTAAATACTTTGGAAAAAAGTCAGGTTATAGTTGCCATAAATTATATATGCAAAGAAGCAGTGGGCACTTGTGACATTAATTTTCATCTCTGGTCACATGGAGTGCCTGAACATACACTCAGGGGTAGGGGTAGGAGATGTTTTAATTAGAGTGGCTCCCAGAGAACTGCTCTAATTAAAACATAGCTGTGTCATGTGTATTAAACCCCTGAGCATTTAAAAATGGCCTCAGGATGCTTTCACTAAAGCTCATTTAACAAGCTTTAGTTAAAGTACCCCAGCAGTCATTTTTAAACCTGCAGAGGCTTATACCTGTGACATTATAGAGATGCTAGAGAATTTTAACTAGAACATGTTGGAGCATGTGTATAGGCACCCATGGAGAACAAGCAAAAAGGAAGCTTGCTTTCACAGCCTCTACACAGACATTCCCACAAGGGGGAGGTGGGGAAGTTGCCGGGGCAGAGAGGGGAGGAAGTGTCCTAGGTTCTAATCCTGCCAGCATTATTCTTATTTTTAAAGAGTGACCACCCAACATCAAATGCCTACACAGTGCTGGGAAGAAGCCTCTTAGAGCACTTTTGGGGGATTTTTTTGTTCCATTTTCAAGTAGATTATGCATTTTACATAAGGTTGGTGCTGGTTAAAAAGCAAGGTAGATCTGCAACTTTATAACTAACTAAATAAGATGCATAAAGGGAGCCTAAGTTTTCATGAACCCAAGTTCACTTCATCAGATGCTGTGAAAGGACATG